ACGAGGATGGGGAGGGAAGAGCGGGGGAGGAGGGCAAGCTAGGTGCGCTCGCGCCGTATCTGACAATCCTATCCCTCCCGCCCATCCCTGCCCGTTGCGCAGTTGTCTCTCGATCCGCCGACGCGCGTCATAGCGAACCTGGATCTCCAAAGAAGGCCCATCGTGCTATGCGTTACGCATACTCGGAACCATAGGGAACAGCGCACATTGGAGGAGGACGTGTCGAACCAGCAGGATGACGGTGATAATGATGGTGATGATGGTGATGATGATGACGATGAGGTGGAAAGAGTATGATTGCATCAAGAAAATACGAGAAGGCGGCCAAGAGCACGAGACGATAAGATGGTAAGATCGTCCGTCATCCGCCCTTGGAGCGGCGGGGTCTCCCCGAAGCACAAGGCGTAGGCCTGCATGCCTGGCAGCCAGCACATTTGCGCGGGCCTCCAGCAGCGTCTCGATGTTGAGCCGCCGCCGAGAGTTCCTGAGTTCACTAAACGCGCAAAAAAACAGATCGAGAAAGATGGCACAGAATATCGGGAATTCAAGCCCCCAGGAAAGAGATGGGGAAGTAACCTCTGGGGACCTCTCAAATTCCAGAAGTCAGCTGGCCGTGGCTTGTGATGGGCCTGACCCGCATGGTTTCCTCAGATTGGCGGACAACGAAGGGGCTCGCCATAACGCACGACGTACCGCCATGGTCGCAGCGTGGAGGCAAGCACTAACAGAAGCGGGCGGTGCAATACCGGACCGTAACATGGAACGTCTTCTACGGGACACCCATGTCCCAGTACCAGCTGGGGACCTACGACGGTTGGACCTCATAGTCCCAGGGTTGTCAATTGCTCATGGTGTGCCGCTCTTCTGTGATGTATGCATTGTTTCCCCCATTTCTCGGAACGGCTGCCCCCGGGCAGGGACGAGCAACCAAGGCGGGCGTTTATTGGACAATGAACAAAGCAAAAACAACACGACCTACAACGAGGTCGCGACTACGGGATTGGGGAAACTATTATCTCTTGGGTCCGAGGTGTACGGCAGGTGGGGGAAACAATATGTGTGGTTGCTTCCTACCTTGGCATATGAGCACACGCGGGGGCTGCACGCGCGCGTCCGGAAGGGGGCTGCCTTAGGCTTGCTGCATTAATGGTGGGGGCTGCTTGGCATTGCCCTGCACTCCGCCGTAGCGCACGCAGTTCTACACGACCAGGCCGACTTGCAACAGACGTCGCTGGAGGCGGCGCCTGGTCTGGCCGACCTAGAGATTGTGTAATCCCCCTCCTCCTCCTCCTCCTCTTCCTCCTCCTCCTCCTCCTCCTCCTCCTCCTCCTCCTCCTCCTCCGTAGGCCTGCTCAGCCAGCCGCCGGCCGACTCGCCCAAGGCGATTTTCGTGCCAAGACTGCTGTGGCACTGAATCTTGGCGGCTGCGCGGGGGAAAAAAAGGAGCCCTGGGGGTAACCGAACAAGACGAGGGACTCTCGGACACTGAACGAGGCCTCGAGGCAGAACAAATCTTTCGAGTTTTGTGCTTGGCCTTGCCATCTCCACCGGCAGGAACATCTGGCCAACACCTTAGACACCAGGCAGACGAAGCAAGCTGACCAGCACCACAACTTGAGCAGTACCAAGGCCCTCGAGCGTGGCCTTCCCATGGCGCTGGCAAACGTTAGTGCTTGTCTCCCATAGCACGGTGGTGATTATCAAGCAGCTGTCTTGCTCGAGCAACACGGATCAGCGAGCGAGCAAGCGAAAGGCGCTGACCAGCGGGCCGATGCCAAGCTGGCTCGTCCTTGCGGCGGCGGGCCCGCCCGCGTGCCGTCGTGATGTGCGCTGGCACACCGCACGGTCGCCCGGCGATCTGCGCGGAGCGGCGCGCGTAGCTGCCGATCCCGAGAAGGCTCGCAGCAGCAAGGTACCAGGTACCAGGGTGCTGCACCCAAAGCCTCGAGCCGGGACGGCGGCTCGCCGTCGAGGACGGGAGAAGGGAGGAGGGGAGAGGAAAGAGCAAGAGGAAAGAGAAGGAAGAGGAAGGGAGGAGAGGGTAGGGAGGGAGACGGAAGGGAGGAGGGACGAGGAGGCCTCCTACCTGCTGGCGGCAAGCCCATCAGGCGTTCCATCCCGACCCTTGTTCGACGGCCCCCTAGGGCCTTGCAGGGGGCGCCCCAGAGGCCGGAAAACGAGCAGAAACCTTCCGCCGTGACCCTTTCAAGACGCGAGGAGGCCTGGGCAGGTTGACGACTTCCGCCTTCTGGCGGCGCGCACAAGGGGGCAGGGGGAGGGGGGAAGGCCACTTAGAAGCAGGGGTGCTTCTGAGAAAAGCCCCCCCCCTGCTACCCCCTTCTGCGCGTGGCCGAGACTCCCCGTTCGCGCCCCAGCGACCCAATCTTGGAGCGTCCCCCGGGCGGCTTCCAGGTGCTCGAGGCCCAGGTCCCCCAGCGCGGTATCCGCAGAGTGCCTCGGAGAGGTGCCGGCGGACCTGGGCGTCCGCGCCAGGGAGGTCCTCGGGCGGCGAGCAGGGCGGGCCCGGCCGAGGGAGAGGCCTCCACAGGCGCAGAGGGTGCCCAAGACACCGCCACCGTGGTGGGGCCAAGGCCCTCCTGGGCTCTGGGCCCGGGTGTGCTCGCCCCGCTGGCCGAGGCCGGCAGGGGGTGCAACCCGTCCCAGGGCCCAGGAGGACCCTGACCAGGAAAGGGCTGGTGGTGTGTGGATGCCTCCTGCGGCCTCCTCAGAACGCGGGGGGGCGCATCCCAGAGGCATCCGAATGGAGCGCTCTTTGGAGCCCAGACCTCCGACGTCGCGATCTGGTACACCACGTGGACCCCCAAAGGTCTGGACCGTTTCCCCGGGACCGGGGTGCCCTCCTGGATCACCTTCTCTGTTCCCTCCTGGGGCGTTTCTTGACGGCCCTGGGCCCATTGAGGGCCCTCTTAGGAACGGAAAATTGACAAAAACCGCCCGTCGTGTTGGAAGAACGCCACCGAGACCAAGAGGGACTTCACTAAGAAGCAACAAGCGCAGAAGAAGGATCCAACATCAGCTCCGAGGACAAAAAACGACCAGGCCCAGGATCGCCCGCCCACTGGTCCCAAGGGTTCCTACAACACAAAGGGCAAGGGCAAGGGCAAGGGCGAGCCCAAAGGCGACCCAAAGGCAAGGGCAAGAATGGCAAGAATTTCCGGAGAACCCACAAAGGCAAGGGCAAGGGAAAAGATGGACACGAATTTCCCAGCAAGTCTCTACCAAGCCTCCGTGCCATCAGTGGCGTGGTTCGGGATATTCGCCAAAAGCTACCGTGGTGCCATCACTTTCGAGACACTTCGTCTCCCCATTCTTCTAGAGTGCCGCCTACGGTCAAGAGCATTCAGATCTACACCTACTGGGTTGACCCTGAATGTACTGCATGGTGCGCGGTTTGGGTACCCAAATCAGTAGACGATACCGTCACGTTCTTCATCTCACACAGGGCCAAACTAAGTAGTCAAAGACTCTGGGTCCAACTCTTGGGTGACTTCAGCATGGTCCCTGTCTTAACCGACAAAGGAAGGTGGGTTTGCACGTGCGACGCGCTGAAGTTGATCCATTTCTGTTTTGAATGGATGGGGGGTCAAAAAACTCTATAAAGGGTTCAAGAAACATTGCACATACGGTTCAACAAAATCGGAGGGTCCAAAAAACAAATTTGTAGACCTGGAGGCACGATCCGTGTGAGGGGTGTGCAAGCATTGGCCCATCGACGCCGTCTCGGGGCCCGGGCGTTGGGGGGTCAAACTTTTGTCCTGGCCCTGGGAAGGGGGGGGGAGGGGGGGGGCAGAGGCCCAAGAAACAAATCCTAGCCCTGGATGCACGATCCGTGCGAAGGGTGTGCACACATTGGCCGATCGACACCGTCTCGGGGCGCGGACGTTGGGGGTTCAAACAAAGTTTCTCTGGCCCTGGAAGGGGGGGGGGAAGCGGCCTGGGCCGCGGGGTGGCAAAAATGTTCTCGGGCACCAGAAGAGGGGGGGAGGGATCTGGGAGGAGGCACTGCGTTGCATTGCATTGCGTTGCATTGCATTGCAGATCATTGCATTGTGCTGCGACTAGTTGTTTTGCGTTGCATCCTGTTGTATTGCAATGCGTTTCGTTGCATTGCGTCGGAGCGCCTTGCATTGCATTTTGTTGCACTGCATTGCGTTGCATTTGCATTTAGAGTACTTTGCGTTGCACTGGATTGCGGGCGGGAGGGAGGAGGGGAAGAAGACAAGGAAGGAGGACAACAGAAGGAGGGACAGAGGAGGAAAAGAAAGAGAAGTGAGGAGGGAGGAGGAAGAGGAGGAGGAGTGAGGAAGGGGGAGGCGGGAGGGGAGAAGGAGGAGGGAGGATGGAGGAGGGGGAAGGAAGGAGGACGATGAGGAGGAATGATAATAATGTTGTTCGCTCCCCTGGCCCTTCTCATCGTCGTCGTCGTTGTTGTCGTCGTCGTGGCATACTCCGCCTCCGCGTCTCATGGCACAAGGTGGAGGGCCATCAGGTGCTCCAAAGTCCTCTGTAATCTGCACATGGCAATAGTGGAGCCGGACTTGTCTTCGGACACCGCGGCGCTGCCACGTCACGGTTAGAGAGGAATAGTATTTTTCCAGCCGACCTGGAATTGCCATGTGACGAGTGGGGCGGCCCCCGCGGCGCTGACACGCGACGAGGCGCGCATTGCGTTGCAGTGCCTTACGTTGCACTGCGTCGCATTGTATTGCACTGCACTGCGATGCGTTGCATTGCATTGCATTGCGTTGCGTTGCGTTGCATTGCATTGAGCATGTTCCGGCCCTGGCCAACAAAAAACCCTACTTGTAGCCCCGCTGGCGCGGACTTTCGAGCATGTCTCGAGCGGGGCCCTCTCCGCCGGTCGTACGAGTAGCCAAAAATGCCCTACTGATACGCCCCGGCTCCAAAGAACCGTACAAGTATGCCGAAGTACCCCTACTTGTGACCCCCCTGGGGCGGACCTTCGAGGATGTCTCGAGGGCCCTCTTCGCCGGCCGTACGAGGAGGGGAAAGTAGTCGTACTTTTGCGTCTTGGCCAGACTCCAGATGGCCGTACCAGTACGCCAAAGTAGCCCTGGTAGTAGCCACGCCGGGGCGAACTTTCGAGGCTGTCTCAGGCTGAAGCGCTCTCCGCCAGACGTACGAGTAAGCCAAAAAAGCCCTGCTAACACGCCCTGGCCAGGCTCCAAAGAACCGTACCAGTAGGCCAAAATGGCCCCGTACCAGTAGGCCAAAATGGCCTTACTTGTGGCCCCGCCAGCGTGGACTTTCGAGGATGTCTCGAGCGGGGGCCCTCTCTGCTGGTCGTACAAGTAGACCACAGTAGCCCTACTGGCACACCCTGGCCAGGCCCGCTGGGCCGTACCAGTAGTGCAAAGTAGCCCTACTAGTAGCCCCGCCGACCAACCAACCAACCAACCAACCAACCAACCAACCAACCAACCAACCAACCAACCAACGAATCAACGAACCAACCAATCAACCAACCAACCAACCGACAGACAAACCAACCAGCCAAACGACCGACCAATCAACCAACCAGCCAGGCAACCACTACTTCTACAAACCAACCAGCCGGTCCATCGGCCAATCGGCCAACTGTCCCACAGGCCAACCAACCATCCATCCAACCAATCAGCCAATCAACCAACCAATCAACCAACCAACAAACCAACCAACCAACCACTCAAACACCGAACCACCCAACCAACCAAACAGCCAAACAACCAACCAACCACCAACCCGACCAACAAGCCAACCGAGCACCCGACCAACCACCCAATCACCCAACCAACCAACCAGCCAAGCAACCAACCAGCCAACCCATCAGCCGACCCGCCAACCAACCAACCAACCAACCAACCGACCGACCGACCGACCGACCGACGAGCCAACCAATTTTGGCACATGGATCGCGCCTCGAGGACCGAAAAAAAATGTTGAACCATCAGGAAAAAGTTGATGAACCCTCAGGAAAATTTGAACCCTCAGAAGAAATGTGTTGAACCTGCTCCCCTTTGAATGGCCACGAATATGTTGAGATCTTACCCTTATCGGTGCAGTGAAGAGCTATTGCAGGGGAGTGCACGAACATTCTTACCCTCAATGCAGACCAGGACCCCGCCATCGACAAAAATTCGATATCCCGTCACTTACTGGAGGTGCTGGAAAACTAGTGTAACATCTGCCTGCCAAAACACACACTGACCCTGGGGATGTTCTACGTACCCGTCGCCATCATTATGTCGAGGGTTTGGGTTATTGGCTATCACATACGTTACGCAGGTGCATGACGTACAAACGGCACGTCCTAGGTAGTACTGAGGACTTGACAGGCATGCTGAACTGTGCAAACTTCGATAAGGACGTCATGTTGGTTCGATACGATGTGAAGGATTCTCCATGTCAGGGGGCCATGCAACTCTCGTGGACAGCGCAGGTAGTGCAGTAGATTACCGTCTGCGCTGTTCTGCACGTTGGATAGCAGCATTATTGCTAGAACACCCGTATGTTCGTTCGAATTATTCGGATGGACTATGGCAGGTCGTCGTGAGATCTGGCATGGGACAGAATCTCTCCAGAGAGCTGTCAGATGTTGCCTTTCTACAATTACGTGATGCAGAGCAAGGTTGACAGCGCACTGTGGTTGAATGCTATGGGTATTCGTTTATACGCCAGGTTCAAAGACGACAGATTCACGGTCCTTGTCGCGGATTACACAATCTACAACTCATGCTACAAGTGGCTCGTCACTGACAACTGGCCTTGCTCCAAAGTCAAGTTGGAAAGAGTCTCACGCTCGAATGCTGACATGCTAGACATTTACACATTCGAAGGCCCTAGATATGCCTCGAGTGGTAGATTGGACTTTCAGCCGACCTGGAAAAAGACCAGTATTGGCGCGCCTTTGAGTTTCAGCAGCGTGCATCCCTCCAACATCAGTTTGTCATGGCCAGTGTCTGAGCTCATCCGCTTCAGCCGCCTCCACAGGCACTCGTCTAGTGCCACGCTGTGCGCGCAGGCGACGTCCGTCTACATTAAGCAGCTGGGCAAGCACGGCGTTCCAAAATGTTATCTAGAATCTAGACCTCCTCAGGTCCTGGTCCCACAAGAGGTCCAAAGGCCCTCCAAAATCTAATTCCCGAGATTCCCATAGGCTCTGGATTCGTTCCATCGTGTGTGGGCCAGATCTGGGGTCACACAAGTGCGCGCTACTTCAGAAGTAGCCCAGGACACGAGAGGGCGATACTCGTTCCCGGAATCAGGCTGGCATGGGTTCTGCCTCAAGCACCACTCGTACAGGCTGTGGCTCTGGACTTTTCTGGTAACACTCCTAAGGAACTGTCGCCGTGCAATGTTTACCCCCGTGTTCTGTATCAGGACCCGGCCCTGGGCCGATCGGGCGTTGTGTTGCGTTGTAGCCTGCACGCAGGCTGCGGAGACGAGGGGGCGCACAATTTTGCTAACACCCCGTCGTCC